TTCTTCATGTGTCTATTGGCCATCCTTCTTTCCTCTTCAGAGAAGTTTCTCTTTAAGTCTTTAGCCCACTTATTTATTGGGCAGTTGTTTCTTTGAAGATTTGTTGTAGGGGGATTTAATTTTTTGAGTTCCAGGTATATTTTAGATTTGAGACCCTTGTCTGTTTTATGCCTAGTGAAGATCTTCTCCCAATCCGTGGGCTTTCTATTAATCTTGCTATCTATGTCCTTTGCCATGCAGAAGCTCTGCAATTTCATGCAATCCCATTTGTCCAACCTTTCTTTGATTTGTTGTGTTACTGGATCTCTATTAAGACAAATTCGGCCTGTGAGATTCTTATCTGCAATTAACCAACAAAAAAGAAGTGGAGCTATGTCTCAGGTTAAGCACTAGCCTTGAGCACAAAAGCCTAGGGATAGCATGCATATCTTGAGACTTTCAGAACTGACACCAGAAAAAAAAATAGTGTAAAATGAGGTGGAGGTTTAGTTCAATAATAAGCCACCCATCTAGGAAGCAGAAGGTCCAGGTTCACATCTCAGTACAAGAAAGAAAAGAAGGAAGGAAGCAAGAAAGCAAGTAAGCTAGGTGCTGGTGGCTTATGCCAATAATCCTAGCTACTTATGAGGCTGCAATCTAAGGAACACTGTCCAAAGCCAGCCTGGGTAGGACAATCCGTGAAACTCTTTTTTCTTTTTTTTAAAAAAAAGAAAGGGGATGGGCAAAAGGGTTACAGTTACAGTTCAAAAGTGTTACCTCCTCCCTCATTTTTCTTGCTTTCCCTCCATCCATGGGACATAACTCCAATAAACCTCACAGAAATAGCTAGAAGTGGCACTGTGGATCAAATTGTACAGTGGTAACTTTGAGCAAAAAGAAGCAGCTTAGGAAGAGCATTCAGGCCCTGAGTTTAAGCCTCTACACCAGCATAAAAAAATTAGAAACTGAGGAATGCTTGTTTCTCAGTTTGAAAGACATATGTGGTTCATTAAATGTGTGAACAACATGTCAGTAAAGCTTTGTACAAATTTGCTAATTCAGAAGTTTAAATGTAACTAGCACAAATATTTAGTTTAATTCCTTATATTCTGTTCATTGTTTTTCAAATAATAAAGTAGTAGATATTTTTGTTTACAAAAAAGAATAAAATAAGAAAAAATTATAAGAATAAAAACATTAAACCACGTTGGTATTTCTAAAGGCTGAAAACACCAACTAAATGGTTAAAATTAAATATGTATAAAATAAGTTCAATTTCCCTATTAATAAAAATAAAACTTGTTGAAGAAAAGTATATGCATAGAGGATATTTTGTAAATACCTCTCTACAAAGTAACTAATATCCCTAGGAGAGTTTCAGACTTTGAAAATTAGTGAGATTGGTGGGCTCCAACTAAGTTTCTCCAAAGGATAAAACAACTTGGGCAGTGCTAGAGTTCAAGGGAAAAGCATGGTGAATGGACTAATATCCATCTGACAGATTGGGCAAGTGGAATTGGATGTGGGGATCTACAAGGCTCAGAAGAGTGAAGGATGTGCTACTGTGGAGGCAGGGTAGAGGGGTGCAGCCTCTCCTTCCCCCGCCCTTCCCTCTCTCAGAAGCCCTTTGTGATGAGGAGGCCACATCACAGGTATTTGAGTCTGTGATGCAACAGTGAGCATCACTGCCTGCTCCTGAAGGCAACTCCTAGAGCTCAGTTGCTCAAGGGTGGTAGTGTGATTCAAATGATGGAGAACCCTCTCTTTAATCTGAAGAACGACCGTTCTCCATGGCTGAGCCCCAGCATCACCACAGCGGCAATGGATTTGATCCTTGCCTTTCTGTGTGGACTGGGGCTCTTCTACCTAATAACCCCTTACATACCGAGTAACCCACCGTTACCTCCACCTGAGACACAGAAAAAGCCCAGGAAGGTAAGAGCCCTCGAGCCAGACACAGCAAAAATGACCATTTTTTTTAAACTGTCACCTCCCCTTTTGCAAATCAAGCAGCACTGCTGGGACAGGGCAGGGTTACAGTAGGCATGAGGTCATCTACTGAGCTCTCCATCCACCTGTATAGTGGTCAGCAAGTGCCAGAAAGTGCAAGAGTAAAGCCAAACTTTACTTGTTGCTGACCAAGGACTAGGATCCTAATCACTGGCTACTTGAGCACTGGCTCAGCGGTCTCCTTGTCAAGGCAAATGGCTGAAGGCCACATCATTACCCAAGGATAGGTTGGTATAAGGGCTGTGCTGAGTCCTTGAGAGGCTTTGGTCAGAAGCTGGAGTAAACTCTGGCCTCAGAAGCAAAAGTCAGACTGGTGGCTATGAGGTACCTGCAGAGATGTGGCCCTGAGGGTGTGCATGGGGAGTCTTAACTTTACATAGACATTCCAATGTGTTGTTCAGGAAGGCAGGCAGAAATAATTTTCACCAGCACTGAACATAAGAGAAGGAAACAGGGAAAGCAGAATGTAATATTGTTCAGGAAGTGTGAACATCTGTGGCATGTCTAGGGTGAGGAGAGGATCCAAGTCTCTGTCTTTGTCTCTCAGTGTCATGTGGAGAAAAGAGGTCATATCAAGAGCCGGAAGAAGAGCAGCACCATGAAAGGTAGGCTCCTTCCTTCCTCCTAACGGGAGAGGAGATTGCTGGTTTCTGACAAGAGCCAGGTTTTGGAAGAAGTAAAGGCAGTGCCCTTCGAGAGAAGCTCCTACAGTAGACATCAGACATGGGGACACTTCTCAAGTCCTGTGTTTGGAATGAAGCTGCAGTGGGCCATGGTTGGATGGAGCCTAGTGAGGGTGGCCTGAACCTGGGGAATAATACTGCTTTGATCCAGATGTGGGACTTTAAGGCACAATGTGAACTGATTTTCAACTTCTTTTTTTATTTTTTTACTTTCAACTTCTTAAAACCCAGGACAAGTCCTTCTTCCCCTACAGGATACTCTGAAGGTCCTGTAGGTTGGAAGAGCTTACCTTACAAGGAACCAAGTGCTGCCCCTCTGCTTTGCCTTCCTAGCTCTGTGGCTGTGGACAGAGGCTTGCGATCCATTTTCCTGTCTTGTTTTTACTAGACAGACTACCATTTGAGACATGCCTTCAGTGCCTTTGTGCATTACACACTTTTGAGATAGTCTCACCTAACATGGAAGCCTGTCTGCTCTGAGTCTTTCCTACTTGTGCTTTCCTGTGTCTGGAAATGACAAGTATATGCCACCGCATTCAGCCATTGTGCTTCTCTCAAATCAGGATAATAGACACTTACCACTACTCCCAGTCATTTGTTGGGAAGGAATCTTACAAACTTCTTTGGCCAGGCTGGCCTAGAAGCAGAATCCTCTAACCTTTTGCCTGTCACACAGGGCTATATGCTTGATTTACTATGTCTAGTTTAGTATTCCAGTGGTCTCTTGCAAAGAGACATTTCATTCAGCCACCTGTAAGAACCCAGGTCCCTGCCATGACTGCCATAACTCCTGGCTCTGTTTCTAGATCAAAGAAGTTCCCAGAAGCAGCTAGAAGAGGTTTATGGCCTTGTTACCCTTCTAACTAGGTAAGGATTTTCTACCTGTCCCTTTGCCTGCATTTCTACTCCAGACAATGGGGTTGCCACGGGGCTGGGGAAGACTTCAGGTTAGTCTGGAGTATTACTGAACACTCAGGACGCAGGGTAGTAAGGGCTTTGTAGAACTTAGGTATGAACAGCAGGTACCCATGCTTGCTCTTCTTCTCCTTCAATCGGAGCCTGTCTTGCTGATTGCAGTCTATGCCTTCTGTCTCCTACAGCTACATAGGAAAGCTCCATGACAGTAGCAGCTTTCATGATATCTTAGGAGGAAATGGCCTAGGTGAAAAGCTCGATTCAGAATGTTCTGCAAATCATCAGTCACGCAGGCAGCCTGAGGAGGATGCTTTTTACCAACCCTGTGTTCCCAGTGGCCTCCCCTGCTCCTTCACCTGACTGCCTACAGCCTCTAGACTGTCCCTTGTCAAGGGTACTGATCTCTTCCTCAGATTCTTTGGGGTCACACCCATCCCAGCCTTTGAATCCTCTAGGAGGCAGTATATCCCCATCACCTGCACATTCTTCTAGCCCAGTTTCTTCTCAACCTGTGGTATGCCCTCCTTCCATGCCTGATCCAATCCTGAATCTTTCTACAAGTTATTTGATGGAAGCCCCACCTGGCACCACCCCTCCTGACAATTGTGGGTTGCTTTCTATTCCTGCTACCACCTCTGACATCCAGGAGCTGCTGGAGATAGAGATCAGTAATAAATCCACACTGAACGTTTGTCAGGGGAGGAGAAGGAAGGGAGAAGACAAGGTAGAGACATCTCTGAGGAATGTACTAAGCACACTGGACAGTAAGCAGGACACTGCTACCCCACAATCCTTTTGCAACACAAATGGAAAACCAGAACAGCTTGCTCGTCCCCAGCAGCATATTTTACCCAGCATAGTTTGGAACCACTTACAGCAGGATAGCACCCAGCTTTTCTGGGGCCTGCCCTCTCTGCACAGTGAGTCCTTGGTGCATCTTTCCTGGAAGCAAACGAGGTCATCCTCTGTCCAATATCTATCTTTTGCATTTAATTACGTTAGCCCAGCTGAGCCTCAACCTAAAGATGCTCCACATTGTTCCCAGGCAGAGACCCTGCGCCAAATTATGGGTGAATCTGAGCTTTGGTCACAAAACATCCAACCAATACTATCTCAGATCCACACTGAGCCCCAACTCCCATGTTTTATCCAAAAGCACCCTCCACCTTCCCCATCCAAGATTAGGAATGTACCTTACACTCCACTTCAACAGAGGAAAAAACCATTCATTCTAAATGAAGCTCTGGACAGGTCTTTGAAGCAATTAAATGGGAGGAAGGATTTAGCTTCTAAGTTACAAACAACAGCAGAAACACTTATCCCACCCACTGGCAACCTTCCCCAGGTCAGCAAGGCCACCCAGACTAACAAGTTGGACTTCACCCTTTCCGGTGATTCTATGAGCTCCAACATCCTCAAACAGGCAGTCATCAAAGATGAACAACAGCCTGGCTGTTCCTTAAGACAAACAGTATACCAGGACTTGATGCAACCTCCAGGCAAACTGACAGTGAATAATCAGTGCCAGTCACAGTGCAAGCACGAACTCTTAGCACAGCCATCCCAGCTTTCTGCCATCCCTTGTAAAGGCAGCAACAGTGTGCAGAAGATAGACCTAGCAATGGTAGCACTGAATGACCCAAGCAAGGGTGTAGAGCATTATCAGGAAAGGGATCTGTCTGAAGATCAAGCCTGGAGTTCAGGAAGCACCCTACTGAAGGGATGTGAGGCCAACCTTTCAGAAGGTGACTGTATCATCCCAAAAACATCTCAGGACCAGACAAGCAGTTATTTACCTAATACCTCAAACAAGAAACATGTAGAAAAAGTCCTGACATTCCACATGGGCAGGAAGTTGAACCAGATGAAGGAGGGCATGATCCCAGTGTGTGTGCGACAGTCCTGCCTCACTACTAGCCATGCCTCTCCCAAACCCAATGCCCATGTCACATCCACCAATCAATCATCCTGCAAGTGTTTGCCAGCCATCGCAAACACCTCCCAGGAGCTTTCCTTCCTGGATGCCCAAACTCTCCTGATTCTAGAAATACATATTGTAAGATACAGGGTGAGGCACAAGTGGAATCCACAAATGCAGAGCAGTGACCCAGGGACTCTCAACTTACATGAGACTCCAGCCTCGCCCTTGGCACAGCCTGCCATTTCCTCCCCACCTTCCACAGACTCTCAGGTGAGCTCCATTGCCAAGGTGGCTAATAGCCAGGAAGATCTTCAGGAAAGTCTAGTGGAGAAGATGGTTAAGAAAATGCTATCTCCCACATCGCAAGGTCCATTTTCTGTCCATAAGCCTACAGAGCTGCTAAAAACTCAGAGCAGAACTCTATCTGGTGAAATCCATGGGCCAGCAGAGGCTGCTCCATCTAGACAGGACAGTCTGGACGTTCAGTACCCCACCTACAGTTTCCTACACAGAACTAGAAAGAACAGGCCTGTTCTGGAGACTGGACAGGGAAGACTTAAGCCAAGTCCAAACTTAGCAGTTTCTATGCATGAGCCAGGAGAGATGAGTGGCAGCATAGCCTTCGAAGAGCCCTGCCTTAGCAGGATGTCTCCAGACAGTAAAGGAATGTCCCAGCTTTCAGTAGCTGAGACAAGTGAGACTGTTGAGATCAAAGAGACACCTCCTTCAACTGGGGGAGCCAGTGTAATAGAAAATTCCAAAATAATGAATAATGGAAACATTTCAGGGTCTCCTAAGACCGAGAAAAGCTGCTCCCCCTCTAGCATGTCTATTTTGCAAGACCCAGAATATACAGACCTGAAATCCTGGGTAGTTAGCGAGGTTCAAAAACAAGTGGAACTCAAACTAGAAAATCAGTTCCAGCACCAGAAATCTAGCATCTTTCAACATGGCCATATTGACAAACTCTCCACCCAAGTGAGCCTGCCTTCTTGGGCCTCTGGCTCTACATCCCAGATCATGACTAGCAGCAAAATATCAACTCCTCAAATCAAGTGTAGCCTCATACTGAGGAGGAGGCCCAGCCAGGAACAGCCAGAAACAAAGAGCTCTAGAGCTCAGGTTACAGGAAAGAATCAGAGTAAAATGTTCACTGCCTCCGATGGAAGGCAGGGCTGTAGGAAGCTTGCATCAGGACTTCCCGAAGGGTGGCGGGCAGTGGTGAGGCCTTCCCAGTCCTGTGGGCTCAGCCCCCTTGTTGAGGTTAATGAACAAGGTGCCATTGGAAGAAAGACATTTCCAACTTCCCCACAGAAGGCACACAATTCTACAGAAAGTCATGTCCACAAAAGGGTGCAGAATTTTCTGCACTTTGCCAATGCTAGTACCAAGGAGAGAAGGCAGGATGACCCCCTGCCAAATGTCGAATGTTCATCTGTAACTACCCAGAGCAGACCATTCATGGACAGTGGAACAGCTGACGCCCAGACACTTACGAAGGCTGTTGGGAAGATTAAGGTAGACAAACTGGGACTTCAGCATGGCGATGGTCCACCAGAGGTGCATAAAAGAAAGCCTTAGACACTGCTGCACAGACATTTCAGCTACCAGACAGGTTCCTGTGACCCCCCAGGAAAGCTCAATGATAGGAAATAAGGGCCATGGTCAGCAGACTGGTCACAAAGATCCACGATACCCTATCAAGATCATGTGCGCTGCAGACAGGGACAGAGATGTCCAGAGAGCTTGCATTTACAAGCAGTTTCTGCCAACATAGACTAGGTGGTATAATTATCTCAGACCACATTTCTAGTTAAATAACAGACTTCCAAAAAATGTGTCCTGTCTGATTGACTAGAGCATGTTTATCATGGCTCATGGTTGAGAAATAGGTTATTGTATGTTCTAAAATGTGCAACACCTTGCATTTATGAATGGTTTCTTGTTAAATAAAATGTGTACCACTTTCCTATAAATTTGTTTCATTGCAAAAATGAAATGAGAGAGAGATGATCTTTCTGCGCCAGCCTGTGTAGAAGGAAGGTCAGCATGTGGTTTTCCTAGAAACTTCTTTAGAAGGTATGGGTGCACAGGACAGTGACTCAAAGACTGACCTTTACACAAAATTTCTCTCTCTTTGCTCCTTATAACACACACACACACACACACACACACACATATACATACATACACACACACAGGCACTCTCTCTCTCTCTCTCTCTCTCTCTCTCTCTCTTCAGGACAATAGAAAGCTTTTAGGATTTTTCAGGATGAATGAATTCATGACCTTGCTGAATATTTCTTTCATCCTGTTTCCTTTTGAGAAGACTTTGTGCACTTTTGTGCAGAGGCACCAGACAACCTAGATGATGCTGTTGTCTGATTAATAATCAACCACCTACAATTATTAAGAATCCTTAATGTATAATTATAGAGTAGATTTCAAGTACCAATCAGTATATTTTCTTAATACTTCACCATATTGTAATCATTATTCAAATGTTATTTAATCTGTGATATTTTCTCTGGGGTCTCTGTTAAGATCTCTGTGAAGTGGCTAGGGGGCTCTGAGAGTTTTGGTATAGGCCTCTCTGGAGTCTTTTCAGGACTCTGAAGAGTTATGTAGGAGTTTCAGTGGGGGTCTCTAGCGATTGCTGTGGGTATACTTCATTGTTCTCTCAGAAGTCAGAACTGACCACACCAGAGTCAGAAGTACTTGCCCCTCACTGCATCTATTTCATCAACATTACTGTCTATAATAGAGAAATATCTCTCTGAATGCTGACATTTTCTGGTCTTTTTAAGCTGGTCTTTAGGCAGGTGAGGTGTGGAAGCATGGAGAACCTCGAAGATTTCAGGCTAGCTTCTTGAGCCTCTTAAGTTCCTACTCTTCTGAAAGTGATGCTGGGTCCATCCATCTGAGGTGAATCACAACCTGAGTCCCCTAGACTTGGTTTTTCCACTAATTATCAATTCCCTTTTGAAATCCAATAGGTGATTTGGAGGCAGGTTTATTAAGTGTACTGTTAGGAGATTGATCTTCCATATCCCAAAGCTTTGTTTGTCACTACTCTGTATTACCTCTAAAGGTCTTCTCTAAGCCTGTGGTCTGGGAGCCACACCTGGAAGCCCAGCAGTGAGCACAGCATGAGTGGTGCAGTCCCCGAGGTCTCATCGTCTCAGGCTGGGAAGACAGAGTCTTTTCCCCTGGAAACGATTGGGCATCCCCAAGCCACTGCTTGCTTCCTTGGCTCCAAAGCGATCAACCTTCCACATTCTACTCTAGGTTTAGTCTCACAATTAGATGGTTACTACACATTTCATAAGACAAATGACAAACCCTTATCTGTGACTCCTGAACCATCACATCTCTAGGGAGAATTTTTTCTGCTCTTTCTAAAACCAAAGTTAGCACCATGGAGGGGACATGGTTGTGCTCACCATACCTTGACTGCTCTAATGTTAACACCTGACATTTATCAGAATGTTTTCCACAGGTCAGAGATGTAGTATATTTATATATCTGTCCCTACTCCACATTTCAGGAAAGAAAATTTAAGGAGTCTCAGCCACACCAATTGCAAGTAGTGCAGAGTATGGGACTCATGTCTTCATGTGCAAATCTGTACTGCAAATACAAGCCCCAAACCATGGCCTATCTCAGTCCCATGGAGACAGAACCTTCTCTCTAGTAACCTGATAGCTAAAGTATTACAAATTTGAAGAGGAGGACTGGTTGTAAAGACAGCCATACAGTAGCGGCCTCAGTGGTGGCTCTTGATGTAGAGACATAGTCAACTGAAACCTACATTTACACATACTGTTTCTGGTGTTTGAGAAGTGTCCGATTTTAAAATCGATTGACCTCCAGAAGGCACCTCTGGATGTATTTCTTCTAGTATTTCCCTCTCACACGCATCTACCCACTCATTCCCTTAAAGCAATTTTCTTTTCATTTGTCTTTCATGGGGCTTGACCTCAGGGCCTGGGCACTATCCCTGCGCTCTTTCACTCAAAGCTAGCGCTCTACCACATTGAGCACAGAGCCTCTTCCAGTTTTCTGGTGGTTAATTCTAGATAAGAGTCATGGCTTTGAACCATAATCCTCAGATCTCAGGCTTCTGAGTATCTAGGTATGAACCCCAGCACTGGACTCCTTAAAACAGTTTTTATGCTGGAACCCAGTGTCTCCCTCCAGCCCCACAGATGGTGCCCCTCTCTACATTGGCTGCCCCTTTCCACAGTCCAGTGTACCTGGGGCCAGCGTAACCTTGGTTGGTTTGTCCAGCACAGTGGGCACAGCCACCTCCATCCAGCACCCAGGCACAGCATGAACCAGAACAACAGACACCATTCCCTGTGGGCCCCGATCAGTGCTTGGTACTACCACTACCACTCAGAAAGCCACAGGCGGGCAGCCATGGAACCTCAGACACAGGCAGACCTGGTTGTATGCTGCTCCTGTATGCCAGGGTGCAGGCGGCTGCCAGCAGGAGGATGAAGAGCTTGGCTGGAGGAAGTTGTGGAAAGCTCACAGGGCTCAGCCCAGTCCAGGTAAGCTGAGCTCCAAGAAGAGATGCTGGGCTCAGGCATCATCTAAACCAGGACATAAGGTCAAGTTTGTGCTGGGTCAGGGGATCAGGATACCAAGCGCACTTGAGAGGCATGCAGAGGCACAAGGGGCATCATCTGCACTAACCAGACCCTGGACCGCCTCACAGATACCCTGGTACCCATCTTCATCTCTGACTTCTGCTGGGTGTGAAGGATGAGACATTGAGGTTGGCTGGCCAGAGTCGAGAGTGGGATGCTGCACAGCAATGGGCAGAACAGGCCCTGGGAGACCCAGGCGAATGCTGTGGTGGCCGACTTCTTTCTTGTGTTTGTGGCAAGCTCCCTCCCAGATATTCTGGCAAAATTGTTGACAAAAGCCAATCTAGCCCATGGGATAGTGAGGCTGTCTTTTTCCTTTTTCATTCGGTTCTTTCAGTTGGTTTTTGCTTTTTAATAATACCAAGTGTCTGCAAGATGCACAGGATTGAAGGTAGTATGAGAAACTTTTGAATTCTGGGGAATCTCCTTCAGGTAGGGGTTGGAGGACTATGGGGAGTCAAAACCCACGAATCTGATTGTCTAATGTCTTGCACTCAGTGCACCTAGTTAGTAAGACAGCACAGGGCTGGGAAGATGGCTCAGTGGTAGAGTGCCTCCCTTGCATGCATGAGGCCCTGGATTCAATTCCTCAGCACCACATAAGCAGAAAAAGCAGGAAGTTGTGCTGTGGCTCAATTGGGAGAGTCCTAGCCTTGAGTTGAAGAGCTGAGGGACAGCACCCATGCAAAGAGTTCAGGCCCCACAACCAACAACAACAAAAAAAAAGACAGAGAGCACAGGCTACCATATCTTTTGAGTTCTCACACCTTGGAAGAAGTTTTATTGCAGATGTGAATTGTGCTCTGAGAACACTTATAAGCCTGCAACTTCGTGTCACCTCCTGTGAAATGTTCAGTTACAGATCTCTTCCCCCTTATGGTTCAGTCTCCTTTTCATCCCCTGAATTCTGGAAGCGGTGTTTATGTGTGTTCCTACCTAAGCTGGTTTGTGATTTCACACAAGCAATATGAGGTTCCTGGGCGATTGTGTATCTCCACCTTTTTGGTAGATTAGGAAGAATCCATTACACTCTGGAGGTATAAATAAGGACCATGGAGCTAGTTCTATTCTAGAACATTCCTGCAGTGAGTGGTTTCTAGAGCTGTGACAGAAAAAAACTGCATCTTTTAGGTCTGCCAGGGCTATTTTCTAGTATGTCTGTTGAACATCCCTTCAAGAGTGCACTCAGTGCTGGCTTACAGTGTTTTCTTACACTCACTGGAAAGATGCATCTCACTCTGGTTTCTCTTGCTCTCCAATGGCCTGTGCTGGGTGCCTCAGTTGGTTTCACTGGGCTGAACTCTAAGCATGAAACATTCTTTCAAATTATGTAGATTTACATTGTAAAGCAGGCCTGGCATTGGCTGCAGCTTCTTTACATTTTTTTCCAGATATTTTTTTTTCCAGAGAAACCCTAACGTTCATCATGCTTTATTGTTTTGCTATTTACAAAGTGCTAAGAGATTTCTTTTTTTTTAATTTTTTAATTTATTTTATTTTATTTGTGAACATACTGTACATACTGGGCAGGATAATGCATACATTTCTTACCAAGCATTGCAGCCTCCTCCTTTGTTTATCCTTCACATTCCTTCCCAGCCTCCCCCCTCCCCCCCAGTCCCAATACTTCCCCCCCACCCCCTCCAACATTGTAAAGCTCATTTTTGACATGACAACTTGTACTTCTCATTGTTGCAACAGGTCCACCTGTATCCTTAAACGACTTGTTTTTCCCCATCTCCTCCACAAGTTATACTGACATCAAATATAGTGAAAGCAGGGGTTATACTGTGGGGGAGGGACATACAAAGCAACAAAGAAATAATCTTATAAATGCGTTAGAAACACATGCATGAAAGAAAAAAACATTAAAATACATATCTAAGGGTTCATTTTCCTAACATCACATTATCTGACCTTTTCCGC